ATCGAAAAACACACAAAGCAAGCCCTGGCTGGTTTGGCTCAGTGGATAGAGCATCAGCCCTCGGACTGAAGGGTCCCGGGGTTGATGCCTGTCAAGGGTGCATGCGAGAGGCAACCAATTAATGTGTCTCTCTCACATCCATGTTTCTCTCTCCCCCTCCCTTCCACTCTCTCTAAAAACCATGCAAAAATATCCTCAGGTGAGGATTGACAACAACAAAAACAAACAAACAAACAAACAGAAACATTGAGTCAGTGAAACTGCATATGACGAAGTGGGAAGACACAGCGGCAAAATATATAACTAACAAAAGACTTCTGAATAAAGAAGTCCACAATCAATTTTTAAATAGAAAAATATGGGCACTTCGTCAAACAGTGAATGGCCAGTAAGTGTACAAAAAGATATGCAACCTCATTCTAACCAGGAACAGGCTATTTAAAACCACAACGTGGTAATACTACAGAAACCACCAGCCGGTGGGGAGGAAAGGCGAGGAGCCCAGGGAGGGCTGCGGGAGGAAGCAGCAGAGCAGCGGGGCGCGGCCCGTCAGTGAGGGGCACCAGGAGAATCGGGGCGGCCTTCTCTGAGCAGCTCCTCCGGGCCAGGCACCTGAAGCACATTTCATGGGTCACGGCCTGTACTGACTGAACTCTAACTTTAATTTCATCTGACCAATTTTAAGGAGAAAGACACTGTCCCAGCAGCTCTTTCCCACCAGCTCATTTCTCTCTCGCCTTCACAGAGCTGTGCAGTCGACTGAAAGTTTGATCATGGGGTGTGGGGGCAGAGAGGCGGGGGTGGGAGATTCATGTGGAAACGTCCTTCTCACTGTTTCGGGACTGCACTCAATTCCACCTGCCTGTCCCTAACTCTTCTTCTCTGTGTAACAACGTTCATACGGTAAAGACCCCTCCTCCCCACAAAGCCCCACAGCCAAGTGATCTACTCCAGGCTTCGTAGCTGACTCCCTTCAGGACCTCCAATCAACCCGAACACTGACCACCCACCTCTGCTCGTAGAACGAGGAAGCTGTGGGGACCCACGATCTGGGAAGGATAAGATAAAGTCCTTGTCCCTGAGCTCACACCATTCTGTCTGCCAAGTACACCTGATTCTGCATCTGGGATAGGCACATCACCAATCCCAACTTTGTACCATGAAACTTTTATTTAGCCTGTTTCTTAGGAAAAAAGGAAAGAACAAAAGGCTAAACAAAATGTATTAAAGTTAGATATCAATCTAAGGCTAGGCAGAGAATCAATTCACACAACACTTCCATTAGTCACACCAAGACTTGGCCATCGCCCTGACTCTAGCAGAAGCTAGCCAATTTTCAGCACTAAAACACAACCACCAGGGAACACGTGCTAAGACACACATGCACACTCTCCTGCCATTAACCAAAAGCCAAAAGTCCAGGAGCCACATAAACTATTTCAATGTAAAACCGTTCATTTAAAATTGTTCATTTTGGAATCGGGATTCAAAGTTCTTCCCTGGAATCCAGTCCGATGTGGTCTTTAAATGAGGGTCTTCACAGCAGCAGCCTCCTGACGCAGTTCTCCAACAGTCAGCGTCTAATCAGACGCTGGGCATGCAATAGCCTGTTAACCAGTTTCTGACCTCCTGGCGCTTAAACTCTGACGGGAAGATACACAATCCACTAACAATACGTCATGTAAAATCGTGGAAGTCTCCAGTGCAGCAAAGACAAGAGCATGTTGCCTTGGTCATGAGTAGACACAACAAGCACCCCAAGTTCACAGCAGAATCCAAGCCACCAGCTGGCAGGACCTTTAGGCTAGATTGTACCGTGAAGGCAGGAGGGGATGCTGGGCACAGACAGCCCGCAGGCATGACTTTGTAGGTTCTTCTAAGCCTTGGTTTTGGTCCATTGGCGCCAAATAAAGTAGAAAGTGTGTCAACCGGTAAAAACAGGATGGAAATTCTAAGTTGGTGAAAATGAGCAGTCATTTGAGACATTTTTAGAGCAGCAACGTGTTACAGATGAGAAATACCAGGAGCACTACACAGAGCTTATTTGTGTGACACTTGCAGTTGCTTTTGCCTTCTGTTACTCCTTGCTTCCCACAAAACTGTATTCATAACACGAACCCCCAAAAGTCACCCATGACAAAACTCCGTAAATACAGAAGTTACTAAGGCACGTCCACTGACAAATAAGCGTCAGTCACTGCACAAGGCACTACCCATTTTTATTGAGCTGATTCTAATTTAAAACAATTACACAATTTTGTATTTCATTACAATGTTTACCAACACTATGCTAGCCACATCAGAACTTCAAGTTCTGAAAGTATCAGATTCAAACAGAAAACACAACAGTCTCAGCCCTCCCAGACCCGGTCATTCTCCTGCACACTGACTCCTCCTTCAGAAGGCTGGGTGTTCAGAAGGCTGGGTGTTCAGAAGGCTGGGTGTTCAGAGGATGCTCCTTCTCCAGGTAGGAGCGGGCTATGGTCAGTCCCTCAGGCATGGCCAAGGAGGACCCACCACTTTGGGGCGAAAGACCGAGGGTGAGCTACTCTAGCCCCAAACTCACAGTGTTTCATCTACAAAATGAGGATGTGAACAGCTCAACAGCTCTGGTCCTTGTGAGGAGTCAAGGAGAGGAAGCATCACAGCACTCGGCTCAGGCCTGCCCGTGGGGCTTAGCCCATGTAACCTCCAGTGCGGAGCCTCTCCCAGATCCAGCCACCTGTGCAAAGGCAGTGACGCCCACCGACAGCCTGCGTCCCACACGGTAATGTCGCATGTCTTCCCCTAGCTTTGGGTAATATTCACATGGATTAACTTGGGTCATTTTTCAGGTTCTGAAAAGAGTTTACAGTAAATGGCAATGCACATGAAGTTTGGGTAGAATTATTTTAATTAAATACAAAGTCTGTAAGGAAACACCTTCATGTTCTTAAAACCAGGTAAAGGTTGTGGTGGTGCCTCCAGGATTTCCCTCTGAGGCTTCCAGCTGCCACGTGGGCAAAAACATCGATTTCCTACTTCTGTCTATAAACCATGTCAATAGTGTCTATACAACTCAGACTATAATTAACAGCATTTGCTAAAAATTCATTTAAACTGAAAGTTGAACTATATATGCTTATCTTGATTTATTTTCATCAGAGAGCCTAGTAAAAAGTAATCCAATTATAGACAGGAACAGAGGGGGCTCCTCTGCTGTTTTATAATCAGAAACACAAAACAATGGTGGAGAGAAAGAGCAATAAAGAGTTCAAAAAGCCCTCGCCAGTGTGCTCAGTGGTTAGAGCAGCCGTGGGCAAACTACGGCCCGTTTGAAATGAATAAAACTAAAAAAAAAAAGACCGTACCCTTTTATGTAATGATGTTTACTTTGAATTTATATTAGTTCACACAAACACTCCATCCATGCTTTTGTTCCGGCCCTCCGGTCCAGTTTAAGAACCCATTGTGGCCCTCGAGTCAAAAAGTTTGCCCACCCCTGGGTTAGAGTGTCAACCTATGAACCAGAAGGTCACATGCCCCGGTTGTGGGCTCCATCCCCAGTAGGGTGTGTGCAGGAGGCAGCTGATCAATGATTCTCTCTCATTATTGATGTTTTTATCCCTCTCTCTTCCTCTCTCTGAAATCAATAAAAACATTTTTTTAAAATATAGCTCTGGCAGTGTGGCTCAGTGGTTAGAGCGCCGGACAGAGCACAAAGGGTCTCGCTTTGATTCCTGGAAGAGCATGTACCAGGGTGTGTGCGGGAAGCCACCAACGGATACATGCCTCTCTCACATCGATGTTTCTCTCTTTCTCTGTCTCCCTTCCTCCTTCCCACTCTTTCTAAAAGTCAGTGGAAAAAAATATCCTCAGGCAAATAAAAAAAGAGAGAGTTCAAGTACTGTTTACAGAAGAGAGGTAAAAAATGACTCTCAGTGTAACTGGGAGAGGGTGAAACCCAGGTGCACCCAGAGCTCAGCGCAACTGCTCTCCAGCCTCTTAAATGGCACCTTCTAAGGACTGACAAGCAACTTGGAGTATGAATGCTTATTTGCATTCAGAAACTTCCTGGACTTTATTACTATTGACTCAAGGTCACTTACTTTGCCCAAATTTTTAATTGGGGTTTTAAGTAATTAATACAGGCATCAGTAAAAAGTCTCAAAGACCTTCACAGCAATTTTTTTGCTAATTATTTAGGTTTGGTTTTTTTTAAGGGGAAACAGTAATGACAATATGTTCCTAAAACAAGCTTTAAGATAAAGTACTACAGAAATAAGCTTTTATCATTTTTAACAAAAAAACTAATTTCACAAATATAACAAGAACAGAACTTTCAATGCTACTGAAATTTAAAACAAGATTTATTCTAGCTGAAAATGTCTTAACTGCAAATATTTAATTTCAAAAGTTAAAGATTTACATAATATATTAACACTTTGAATCTAATCTTTTGTTGCTCTAGTGACAATTTTTAATTATTTTCTCAAAACCAACAAATTTTAAAATATAGGGGAAAAAGGTTTCCATAGTTAGTATTTTATAGAATTTAATAGAGATAGGAACTAAGATCCTATTTCTCTTATCAAATAACATCCAAAGAAAGGACAGTAATTTTCAAAATTATTTTTACCATGTTACAGTGTATGTACACACACACACACACACACACACACCCCACATATATAAATTAGTACAATCATTTCTTCTGGGGAAGCTAATCATCTTTTTTAAAGGAACTAACTTTAAGAATACAATTTTGTTATTTAAACAATTTCTCCAACTTCCTAACAAGAAAATTATCTGACTAGTTTGGAGAATTGGGACATCGCATTCTGTGCTTTCCAACACTGGGCATGGGGTGCAGAAGCAATCGGTTAAAAACATCCCGATCCTCGGGCTGGGAGAACCCCTCCCACAGCCTGCCTCCCGCCCGCATCCGCCCCGGGGTGCCCCCGCGGGGCCCGCCTCAGAAGAGGCTCCAGTCCCACCTGCTCTGGGGCCCAGCACTTGCCTCCAGCCCCGGCCCAGACCACCGCGCTAGGTTGGGACGCAGTGTCTCCCGCGCCCAGGACTCGTGCTGCTGCCCATGCCCCTCGCTCGGTGCCTGGGCGCCCCGCGGTCCGTGGGGCTGGCAGGGAACATGGCTTCTTCCCGCCGCTCCCGGGGCCGTGACTGGGCGGGAGGCCTGGGACGCGGGGAGGTGCCCTCGGGGAGGCCTGTCACGTCCGACCTCGCCCACCCCGTGGCGCTGGGTGCACAGGTGCCCACGAGGGTGAGCAGCGGGCTGGGCGGGTCTCCCCCGAGGGCAGCGCAGACCCGAGCAGCCTGCTCCCAGCCGCCCTGACGCACCAGCTTCCTCCACGAGCTCCGCGGTCTGACTTCACGGGACGGGACGGGACGGGCCTGAAAACGCGGCCCGCGCGCCACGGACCCACCGCACCGGGGCCGCACCTCCAGCACCGCGCGGGGCGCGCGCCGCCGTCTCCCAGGCTCGCCTCCCCCCGCGGTCACTTCCGAGAGGAGAGGCGTCCTCGCTGCCCGTCTCACACGGGGCGAGGCCCTGCGCCCCGGTCCGGGGGAGCGGCCCCTGCCCAGGAACGGGCGTGCGCACCCGCGAGCAGAAACGCCGAGGAGGCCCCTCCACCCGGCAGAGGCCCCAGCGCGTACGGCCCGGCCCGGCCCGGCCCGGCCCCGGCAGCGTCGCCGCTCTCCGCGCCCACTGCCCAGCCCAGCGCAGGCCGCCGCCGCCAGGCCGGGCAGCGGGAACGGCTCCGAAAGAGAAGCAGACCGAGCGCGCGAAGCTAAAACCCTGCGAACCCCAAACTCACACCCACACCCTCCCCACGAAGACCGGAGCGGGGAAGGAGCGGGAGGCGCGGGCCCGAGAGGGGACGCTCGGGCGGCAGGGACCCGCCGGGCTGCCCGGCCGTCGCCCGGGGTCGCGGGGCCACGGGGAGCCTGAGCGCCGGTAGCAGGGATGGCGCCCGCCCGGCCCGGGCCCAGGCCACCCGCCCGCAGCCCCGCTCCGACCCGCACCGGTTCACCCCGTGGGCGCCGGTCTCAGGAGAGGCCCCGAGGGCGAGGCTCCGTCCCGGGTCCCCGGCGGCCCCCGGCGCTCCCGCTTCCTCCTCCTTCCTCCCCTTTTGTGAGCGCCCGGCCCGCTCGGCGGCGGCCCCCGCGTCCCCGGCCTCAGCCTCACCTGAGCCCCGCGTCCCCACCGCCCCGGCCTCCCCGGGCCCCCGGTCTCCTCACGTCCCCGGCCTCCCATGTCCCCAGGCCCCGGGCGCGCGGGCAGGCAGCGCGGGAGGAGCTGGCCTCCGTCGCATCCGCCTCCGGGACTGATCTGTCCGGCCCCGCTCGGCCCTCCGCCCTCGGGCCGCGGCCCTGCCAACCACCAGCCCCGGGAGTGGCCCGCCCGCGCCCCGGCCCGGCCCCGCACTCACTCGGACCGCGCTCGGCGCGGGGAGGCGAAGACCGACGACAACGGGGCGGCGCCGCGGGCGGACTGGCCGCGCTCCCTCCCACGCCTCACGCCGCGGGCGCTCAGCGGTCCCGGCCCGGCGGCGGCGGCGGCGGCGGCGGCGGGCTCGCGCCCTCGGGGCCGTGCTGCGCGTGCGCGGCAGCTAGCGGAGGCGCGCGCTCCCCGCTCCGCTACGCGTGTCCGCGTCCCGCGCTTCCGCCTCCTGCAGGACCGGGCCTGCGCGCCGCGGGAAGCGCATGCGCAGGGCGCCGCCGGCTCCGCTCCGAGGTCGCGCGGGGGACGCCGGGCCGGGGCTTGGAGGGCCCGGGGCCGGTGGGCGGGGCTGCGGCCGGGGAAGCCCTGCCCGGGGCGGGTGGGGCGCCGGCCTGCCGGACCTCCCGGGCCGTCGTGCGGGGGCTCTGGGCCGCCGTGGGGGACACTTCCCCGTCCCCAAACCGCAGACGCGGCGGCTCTGGACGCCCTGGTCGGCGACCCAGCAGTTCCGCCCCAGAGTCGGAACCGCCCGCGTCGGGGTCGCTGTGGACCGGGTCCGTGACCTGTCCAGGCTTCCCGCCCACCTTAAGGAGTTCGGTGCCCGGGCCCCTTTGCAGATGGGGAAGCCGAGGCTCGGGCTGTGTCAGCGGCGTCGTGGCTGGTGCTGGCCTCGCTGAGACTGGGTCTTGGGAAATGGCCTGCAGGGGCCGTGTGAGTCGGGTGGGCAGCTGCGGCACCGTGTGGGCGAGGTGCTCTGGGCCTGAGCCCGGGGAGGAGGGTTCCGGGACCCGGGCCTCACCGGGCAGAGGGCGCTGAGGGCGAGCTGATGGGCTAGGACTGGGTGTCCGAGTGGCAGGGGGTGCAAAGCGCCCATGGCGGGGCCTGGTAGTCAGCTCGGGTGCCTGGCCTTTGTTCTCGAGCGGGGACCTTCGGAAGGGCCGACACCGAAAGTGATAGCTGATTTGTGTTCTTAAAAAAAAAATCACTGGCAACTGCGGTAGGAAGTGAAAGCACCTTTCGTTTTGATGGTGTCGCTTTAATCCTCACCGCAAGCCAGGAGGCAGGAGGCAACCCCCCCCCCCCCCCCCCAGGTGAGCTCCCTGCAGCTGAGCTCCCTGCAGCTGGCGGAGCTGACGGTCCGCTCTCAGAAGCTGTCGTTTGGTTCTCATTCCAACAGAATCGGGTGGAATAAAATGCTTTTGCTTAGCAAGACCTTTTCCATATTCAGTGTTTTCTTTTCATATTGTCCCTTGATGGAATGTATTGTGGTTGTTTGTTGTGTGTTTCTTTCCACTCCATTTAAACTTGTAAGGAGTTCTCTCCCTCTCCCCCCCCCCCCTCTCTCCCCCAGCCCAGGACCTTTGCACCGCTGTTGCTCTGCCTGGACCTCCTCCTCCCCTCACCTCCTTCAGGCCTGCAGATGGCATCCTATGGGATGTAACTGACCCCTGTGCACTCCGCACCCCTCGCTCTAGCACCTGTGGTTCAGGCCTCACAGTAGGTACTTGTTTATTTCTTGATGGTCCGCTCCCTCAACTAGAATATCGGAGTCATTAGAGCAGCGACTTTGTTTTGTTCTCTTCTGGGTCCCTGGCACATAATTAACTACTTGTTGAGTGACTGAATGAAGCCTTGGGTGATGTGAAGTGAGAAAGTATTATTTAAAGTCAACGGAAGGAATGGGAGTGGGGAGGGGAGTGAAGGGACAAAAGGGATTACAGTAAAGGGATGTCTTTGGGGGGAGGGGTTGCTTAGTGTGGTAGACTAAACACAGCCACCAAGTCTTTGACATTGCTCCCTGCAAGAGGTGGGATCTAGCTTCACCCCTTGAATCTGGACAGATGTTGTAACTCACGTTGACCGATAAAATGTGTAACAGTGACGTCGGACTTCCGAGCCAAGGCCTCCAGAGGCCAGCCCCAGCGAGCCTAGGGAGGCCCCATGGAAGAGAACTGAAGCGCGCTCCCCCCACCCCCGCCTCTCACCCCTCCACACACAAGCGGCCAGACTCCAGACGTGTGAGTGAGGCTGCCCTAGACCCCACCTCAGTTTAGCCAACTGCAGAGAATCATGAGCAAATGAAAACGGGGTGGGGGTAATTTTTGTTTTATTTCTTGATTGTAGAGAGAGGAAGGGAGAAAGCGAGAAGCATCAGCCTGATGTTCCACTTACCAGTATTTACGCATCAATGGTTGCTTCCTGTCTGTGCCCTGACGGGATCGAACCTGCAACCTTGGCGCATTGGGACGACGCTCCAACCAGCTGAGCTGCCCGGCCAGGGCAAAACTTGTGGTCTTAAGCTTCTGTGTTTTGCGGCAGTTTGTTACACAGCCATAGATAACTGACACATTCCATTTCCTCGCCTCCGCCGGCCTTGGTGCATTAGAAATTGATCTTCTTGACAGGCAGCTTCGATTATTCTGCTTAACAAAGAAAATGGGGGAAGGCAGGAGGAAGAATCGATGCGCATGAGAAGGACAGGCAGAAAGGCAACAGACAACCTGGGAAGCAGTGAGTGGCTGGTTGTCTAACGGACCCTCGTTAGCCCTGTGTCCTGTGGTGCCCAGAAGCTGCGGATGACTGGTGGCGCGAACCCAGGTCAGGTTCAGCCGTCCGCAGTTCACCAGCCCCTGACGGTGGGCAGGCTGCACAGCGTCTCTGAACCTCATTCCTCGTCTGCAAAGGACCTACATGACATTGGGTGGCTGTAGGACGGAGTGAGCCCTGCCGTAAGACACTCAGCAGTGTGCGTGGCATAACACGTGTTATTGATTAGCTATCGCATTACCGTATGGATCACTACTCACCTTGACTGTCACGGCTCCCCAGAGCGTAGCGTTAGCAAAGGCCGATGGTACGTGGGCCCTGTGGGTCAGTCCTGTAAACACTCCCTCTAAACCTCCTAGCAACCCTGCAGCTTACGCACTGTCGTCATCATCCCATTTCATTGATGGGAAAACTGTGGCTCCATCCCCAGTGGGGGGCGTGCAGGAGGCAGCCGATCCATGATGCTCTCTCGTCACTGATGTTTCCTTCCCTCCCTCCCGCTTCCTCTCTGCAGTCAACGGAAATGTATTTAGAAAGCACATCTGTGGCTCGGAGGAGACAGAAGCGAGGAGGCGGAGAGCGGGTGCTGGCTGGGTGCTCGGTAAGAGGGCCCGCTGTGGGAACTCACTGGCGTTTCTCATGAGGAGGCCGGAGGGATGGTTCTTGGGGAGCGCCGTCATCGCTCATCGTATCAATAGCGCACACTGTCATCGCGACCTAAGGCTGCTGAGTGCTCACTGGCTGAGCTTGTGCGGGTCCGGTTCCCCCCGGGAAGCTGCTCGCCCACACTCGCTGCCAGACTGAGTGCTGCGGAAGGGGTCTCCGTGTGCGGCCCCCACTAGAGAGCGTGGAAGTATCTGTGTAGGTTATTTGGGTTCTTCCGTGTGGGAGACCTCTCCCCCCCCATGTGTTCAGTCACTCTGTTTATATCAGCATGGACGCACGGATATATATATATTTTGTACTTTGGGTTATAATCGTCACCACTTTATTTTGCTGCTCTTTCTCTGGACGTTGTTAACGTCCAAAACGCCATCAAGCCTGACATCCTCCAGCCAGAACCAGGCAGTGTCCGCACAGGTAGGGCTGCCTCGGGGCAGAGAGTCAGCCCTGGCCACACACCCGCTGGGCAGCGGGCGGGAGAGATTGACGGGTCCGGTTACAGAGCCTGAACGCACCTCGCAGGTCTGTAACGTTCGTTCCCTCATTCAAACCACTCGTGCCGCACCCCGGGGATGTGCCGCGCCCCGGGGATGTGCCGCACGGCATGCTAAGCACCAGCTTGCTTCGTTCTGGTGGGAGCAGCGGGTAAACAGGGAATCAGGACTCAGCCAGCGAGCTGCGCTGCGCTGCTGCAGAGGTGATGTTGGCGCTGCGTCTTTTTGTTGTTGTTGATCCTCACTCACCCCAGGATCTTTTTCCATTGATTTTTAGAGAGAGTGGAAGGGAGGGGGAGAGACTGAGAGAAACGTCGTCATGAGAGACACATTGATTGGTTGCCTCCGGCATGCACCCCAGCCTGGGCTGGGGATCGAACCTGCAACCCAGGTACATGCCCTTAATGGGATTTGAACCCACAACCTTCGGTGCCAGGGCCAACACTCTAACCACTGAGCGACACTGGCCAGGGCATGGCTATAATTTTTTAGTAACTATTAGATCCCAGGCATATTAATTCATATCTCTTATCATCACTTCCAAGTTAGATGTTCTTATTGTCCCATTTTATAGATTAGAAAACTGAGGCACAGAGATTAAGAGGCTGCCCAAGGTCAAACCTTTGGCTCCCAGCCATAGGGCCTTTCATCTGGCTTGGTGTGTACTCCTCTGAAACATCCCAGAAGCCAGCGATTATGTAATCAGAAATGTCACTTTAAATTCCAACAGGTGTCCGCACTGACCCTTCTGCTTTTTCTGAAACGTCATTCATTCTTTGGCTTGCGCTGTTTTCCTTTCGTCTCCTCCAGCTTGTGCTACTGCATGTCACTGCGACGGTGATAATGCCCTTTTCCTCTTTTTAAAAGTTACCTAGCCAGCCCGGCCGGTGTGGCTCAGTGCCTGAGCGTCGACCTACGAACCAGGAGGTCACAGTCTGATTCCCAGTCAGGGCACATGCCTGGGTTGTGGACTCGCTCCCCAGTGTAGGGCACCCAGGAGGCAGCCGATCCATGATTCTCTCTCATCATTGATGTTTCTCTCTCTCTCTCTCTCTCTCTCCCTCTCTCTCCCATAATAAAAACACTTTTTACAAATGATTTAAAAGTTATCTTGCCAAAGCAAGTGGTAGTTTATAACCCCACCAGATAATTAGTGCGTGTGACAGCCCACAGACGTGGCGCAGCCTTCAGCGGCAGGGCTGGATGGCTGGGAGGCACGCACAGGAGAAGGGCCTGTCCCACCCCGCGCCCTGCCCTGGGGAACTCACACTCTACAGGTGGCATCTCGGCATCGCACAACGTCCCGTCAACCGTGCTGACAAGAGCCACACGTGTGGTCGCCCTGAGGGGAGACTGGGGCTCACCCGCGGCATCAGCAAGTCAGCACGAGAGGCGTGTGGGCAACAGGCATTGTGGGCGCAACTCCACCACCTGTGGGGAGAACCTGGTGCCGATCGGTGTTTGTTGGACGACTGAATGAGGGTCTCCCTAGCCACTCGCTTCTCCCCATGAGCGTGTACAGTGTGTTCCCGGGCACTCGCCTAAACTGTAAGCGCCTTAGGGTGAGGGGCAGGTGACTGGCTTCCGGCTCCCCGCTCCCCGAGGCGAAAGCTGTCCACCCCCAGGGCAGAGCTGCGTTCTGCTCCCCGTGCAGGGCCCGGTTCAGACTCGCAGCTGATCGCAGGCGCTCGAACACCTGTTGGTTGGAGCTCACAGAAGTCTGTGGCCGTCACCCTTACTTTAGTACATGGCCACAGTTGGTAATTCATCCGGCGTCCAGGACTCTGCATCTCCCACAAATGGGCTTTGGGGATACGTATATGGAGAAGAACATGTTTCTTTTCTCTTTCTCTCTCTTTTTTTTTTTTTTAAATATTTGTATTGATTTCAGAGAGGAAAGGAGAGAGAGAGACATCAATGATGAGAGAGAAGCATTGATAGGCTGCCTCCTGCACACCCAACACTGCGGAGCCAGTCGGCAACCCGGGCATGTGCCCTGACCGGGAATCGAACCATCGTGACCTGCTGGTTCATAGGTCGATGCTCAACCTGAGCCAGACCAGCCGAGCGGGCGGGCGGAGAGGGCCACGTTTCTCAGTAGCAGCCCAGAGCCGTCCCACAGGGAGGAGGGGCTCCGCTCACCTGCGCTGGTAATTAGCCTCTCCACCTGGGAAAATCCCCGTGACTCACTGGGTGGAAATGCCTCGGGAACAGGAAAAGGGCTGGGCCCTCCGCCAACCCTGCCAGGCCGGCGGCTCCCTGACCCCGGTGGAAAGTCAACGTGGGTTGCCTCACAGGAAAGGGCACGCGCAGGGACTCGCAGCCGCCTCTCCTGCCTCGGTCCCGGTCACAGCGCCCTCCGCAGCCTCGCGCTCCTGGTCTGTGCCCGGGCTGAGGACTTCGGTGACGTCCCGAGTGGCCCGTCTCGTTCTGAAATCCTGTGAACCCACAAAAGGGTGACATGTAGTCGGCCGCAGGCTAAGGATGGTCCCCACTGGACACGTGCCCAGCTCAGACACTCAGCGGATGTTGAGGGCAGGGGCGCAGCGCTTTCGGAAGCCCCCCACCTCCCACAGACTGACAGGGCAGCAGCGGACTCCGAGGACAGACAAATCGCCAGGCGCTGGGCGACGGGGCCCGCTGAGGTTTAGGAGACGAGCCAGAGCCCATGCCCGGCTGCGAGGAGCAGGCCTCGGAAGGGCGTCTGCCCCCGCGGACATGGCAGGGCCAGGCGCCCACGGAGAGGGGCTGCGGGGAAGCGACCCAGCGGAACCCGTGTCCTTGCCACCCTGAGCCCACCCCTTCGACGTGGGCGGCAGGCCTGCCTTTCTGCGGACTGTGAGGACAGAGTTCGAGCGCGGAGGGCTGTCACCATGCTTCCTTTCTGTTCCCCCCACGCCAAGTCGAGGACTCTCATTCAGTAAACACTGTCGTTTGCTCTAGAGCAGCGGTTCTCAACCTTCCTGACGCCGCGACCCTTTAATACAGCTCCTCATGTGGTGGTGACCCCCGATTTCATTGTGACAAGTTGAACATAATTAAACAACATGTAATTATATATGTGTTTTCCGATGGTCTTAGGCGACCCCTGAGAAAGGGTCGTTCGACCCCCAAAAGGGTTGCGACCCACAGGTTGAGAACCGCTGCTCTAGGGGGTCGGGAAGGAGAAACTAGCTGGGGTGACCCCATGCTCCACTGTGGACGCTGACTTCCATGCTGTCCTGGGGGAGGGGAGGCCTGGCACGGCAGGAGGCATTCTGTGCCCAGCTGCCTCCTTCCTGTCCATAAAGTCCATAAATCCAGCTGCAGGTAGGTGTTCCTGGAGACCTACTATGTGTGAAATGCTACCAGGTGCTGCGAAGGCAAAGAAGCAGGAGGCGGCCAGGCTCTGGCTGCCTGTGGGGTATCACAGGAGCCAGCAGGGGGCTAATGGGGTGCCAGCTGGGGGGAGGAAGGGCGTTGGGGACGGTGGGGGGCATTCCTGGGGGCGTGGTCCTAGGCCGGATCCTGTCCCCCTCATTCTCCACCATGGTCACCCTGCACGGGTGACCCTCAAAGCTGAACCTCAAGCCAGGCCTCTGCCCAGAGTTCCAGACTGGGGTCCAAGGGGCACAGACCCATCCTAAGCGTTTTACCAATCGGCACTTATCGCAACCCCCCGCCAGCCTGAAGAGGTAGTGACTGCTGTCACCCCCACTTTGTAGACGAGGGCACCCAGGAGCGGAGGGGTACCTGACCCAGAGCCCACAGCGAAGGAGGGGCAGAGGCAGGGTCTGGGCTCAGGGGCGCAGCTCCCAGGCCCCTCCTCTCCCCTCCTCTCTGGGGGCACAGCCTCTGCGGTGGGCCTGTGACACTCGTTCAACCCAGGAGCCTGGCCTGTGAAACGTGTTCGTCCTCGGCTCCCTATTTTAAGACCAAGCCTCGCGGCTGGAGGAAACAGATAAGGAGTTTGTGCTTCCGGAGCCCAGGGCCCGGCAGACCCTCCCATCGCGGGGAGCGGGGAGCGGGGAGCTGAGCAGCAGACGGGCGAGGCCGGGAGGGGTCCCAGGGGCGCGGGGGGGCTCCCCGCTGGCTGGCATGCCTGCAGGCGGAAACCGCTAAGTGGACGTCCAAACACACCGCAGGCGCATCTACCAAGCGCGTGGAAACGTACCAGCAGAGGAGAGGGGAGATGGGGCTGCAGAGGGAAGGCGGGCGGCGCTAAGCCAGGGCCTGGGGTCCCGCTGCCTGAGGGAAGAGCCCCAGGGCCCAGGGAGACAGAGGAGCCATTCAGAGCGCACGCCCGCCTTCTCTTCAGTAATTGATGCAAAAGCCGCAGCAAGTGTGCACATGGCGAGGGGAAGCCAGGAGGAAGGAAGTGGTGCTGTGGCCTCCCAAATCCGGGGAGGGGGCCCCCGGGGCCGACAGCTCAGCTGAGGCCCAGCTCCCCCTTCACGGCTTCGTGGCCTTGACCTCTGAACCCCAGTCTCTCCATCAGATTGGCCCTCGTGGCCACCAGCTGTTCCTTCAGGATCTGGTGGGTGGGGGAGGGGAGAGCGGGGTTGGGGAGAAATAATGTCCACCAGGGCCTCGGACTCCCTGGTTGTCTGAGCCAGTCGGGTCCAGGGAAATGCTGGCTGCGCAGAAGGGGCTGGACAAGCCCTCGCAGAGGCTGCTGTGAGCGCCTCTGGTGACCGGCCTGGGCCTGGCCCGCGGCGACCACCCTGCCCGGTGGTCAGGGCCAGGCTGCAGGAGGCAGGCGGCCAGGCCCGGCCCCGCCTGTCTGCCCAGACACGGTGCAGTCAGAGGCCCGTGCTGAGGAGGAGGAGGAGGAGGAGGAGACGACTTCCATTCAGGGCCCTGCCGTCACCATCTGAAAATGCTTCATATTTTATCTTTGAATCTGTGTTTCGTAAGTGAAGTCCAGGGACGATGAAGGGCCCTCGGGGGACTCTGGAAGCCTCAACATGTGGCCCCCATCACCTCCGGGCCTCCCTGCCACCCAACGCCTGGGTCCCGCCGACCTCACCCTTCCTGCCCCCTCCCTGGGGCAGCTGCCGCCCTCCACCCCCATGGTCGGCATGGTACAGGCTGTCCCCACCCTCTGCTGGCAGTGCCGCAGCACCCCCTCTGAGCCAGGGGGCACCCTTGGGGGCGGGCCCCACCGTGGCTGGGGCAGGGCCCTGAGAAGCAGAGATGGGCTGCGGGCTCCTGGCTGGAGGTCACATTTTCGTTTTGCCTCGAGCCCTGCAGACTCTACAACACACGA